ATGTTGAAAGCAGGAATGAGGCATAGAATCCCGCCAGACCCCCATGACTTTCATGACTAGAAAAGAATTTTAAAGAGCCTTCTCCTTTATGAGTCTTCATTTCTATTTTCTTCTTTATTTTTAAGAATTAAAAATTTCGACCTCATCTAGCACACATCACCAGTGACAAATGGAATCTCTGGGCATCTAAAGCAACGGAGTCAAAGGTTATGGGATCCACTCTACTTGGCCACTGTCTCATTGATAGCTTGTGTTATTAGAGCTCCATGATTTAACTTTCTGCTTTGAAATGATGTGAACATGACCATTCTTTCCATAAAGCAGAGGCTTGCAAAGACGTGTGGTTTTTTGACCCATGTGGTGTTTTAAAAAAATGTTTACTAAGTGAAAATTTCAAGAGGTTTCAGAATTTTAAGAGGTCTTATTTCTGACTTCTCTTGAAAAAAATAAAGAGGAGGTTCTAGCCATGCTACATTACTCACAATGTGCTGGGTAATGGCTGCCAGCTTTAGACAAGAAATGGTCACCCCAGTTTACCCTGAAACTTAGCTTATTCGGGTTTACATTTAATTAGCCAGTCCCTTTTTAAACCTGTTTGATTTATCACTGATTTCTATAATTACTTATAGACATTCAAATCACCAGCTCCTTGGGGCAGGATCGTACTTGTTTTCACACTGAGTTTTTTGGACACACTTAGCAAATACTTACTTTACATTCTCTAACTATTCTGTTATTTTGTATAATCCCTTGCCTTCACAACTGAAATAAAACCTAGTAGGTAGAGATTAGATAGCTATTTAAGAATTTCTTTGTAAGTATTTAACCATTTTTACCATTATTTCTGTCGATGGTTTGTAGGTCTAAATAATCAAGATGAAAAGCAGTTACAAGAACTTGCTTTGGAAGAGAGGCAAACCATTCTTCAGAAAATCAACATGTTATACAGTGAGGTATGTTTTAAGAGGTAAACTAATCTCAGCAATGTTAATGTAAAGGAACACTATTCTTGCTAGACTATGTTTTGCTGCTCAAAGTGTTTTCCAAACGCCAGTTGATTGAGTCTTCTCTTATGATGATTGATAATATTGGGTTTAGTGCTGTCATTTACTACAGAATGAGATTGAAGAGATTGTGTTGGCAAGGAAGGAAACCACCCCGCCCCCAGACAAAAGTATTCCAAAGCTGAATCTATTAAGTTACCAGACAAGGGAACACATGCTATTGAAGAAATTTACTTCAACATGGAGAAGAGTCAGGGGGTTTTAAGTCTTAGAAAGAGGGAGTGGTACATGGTAACTGGGTTAATTAAGGATTGAAAATTTGCATTCAGGCTAGAATGGAATGAATCCAAGGGCATAGAGACAGTGGGTTAATACAAGTCTTTAGTCCCTTCTAGCTCAATGGATGGCTTGTCTACAAGAAAATGAAAATACAGTGCTATGTACTATGTTCCCCTTTGTCATATTTGCCATCCTCCTACCTTCAGTCTTCCCTACCCTGGGAATCCAGTAGAGAGACTTTTTTTTCCTTGAAGTATAGTTGATTTACAATGTTATGTTAGTTTCAGGTGTACAGCACAGTGATTCAGATATACATATATCTTCTTTGTCAGATTCTTTTCCCTTATAGGTTGTTACAAAATCTTCAGTATAATTCCCTGTGCTATACAGTAGGTCCTTGTTGGTTATATATTTTATATATGGTAGTGGATGTATGTTAATCCCAAACCCCTTTTCCCTTTGGTAACCATATGTTTGTTTTCTATGTCTGTGAGTCTTTCTGTTTTGTAAATAAGTTCATTTGTATCTTTTTTTTTTTAGATTCCACATACAAGCAGTATCATATGATATTTGTCTTTCTCTGTCTGGCTTGCTTCACTTAGTATGATAATCTCTAGAGGGACTTTTTGAGGATGAGGATGGAGGTATCAGTTATTGTTTTCACTGATTTAAACAGCTAGTCAAAAGCAGATGTAGGACGTCTGACTCTTAGTCTATTATTCTCTCCTGCAGGCTATATCATTTCTAGCAGAGATGGACTATTTCAAAAATTGTCAGTAGGGGGAATCATGACACATAGATACTTTCAGTTTGATTTGAAAGACCTTTTAGTAATAATAAAGTTGCTCCCCTTTCCTTCCTAAGAGGTAAGTTGGTTGCTTTCTTTATTAGAAAGCCCCTTTTTTTCTTGTCACACTGAGAAACTATTTGAGCCTTACCTTGGGAATTCTCAATCTACTCTTTAAACAGCAACTCTGCTGAGAAGATAGGGCATGGCCTGGTGTCCGTCCACTGTCATTTATTGTGGGAGAGAATATATAATCATATGTTAAAAGTCCTCATTTTCTCCAAATGAAGACTTTCAGAGCTTACTTCTTTCATTAGATGAAAGAAGGTACTGTTCAAGACTAATCAGAAGCAAAATTTGAAGAAAATTGAATGGAACACTGGACTTTGATCTAAACTTTTGCATTTTAGAAAATTAAGATAATTTGATAGCATTGTAGAAAATATGCCAACAAGTAACTTCATTGTTAACATGAATCATCATTTATTTTAGGCCTAATTAGGTCTACTTATTAAAGCATTTTAGGACCAGACCTCTTTGAGATGCTCTATGATTTTGTTAATTACTGATTTTTTAGTATTGGGGGGTCTTTTATCTAAGTTCAAGGAATAGCAGTATACCATGGAAAATATACACACTAATACTGATTTTTTTTTCTTTTTCAGCTTCTCCAGAGTCTAGTGCCAAAGGAGAAATATGACAAAAATGATGTTATTTTAGAGGTGACATCTGGAAGAACTACTGGAGGTCAAAATAATTTTATCATAAATGATCTTAAAAATATTTAAATGTTACCTTGATATGACACACTATAACTTTAAAAGTCTGTTAAATGTGTTTCACTTCGGAAGTAGTCATTTCTCAACTCCTAAGGGGTTTTTACTTAAGGAGGACTCTCTAAGAAATTTGTGTTGATTTTTAAAAAATTTTTTATTGAAGTATAGTTGATTTACAATGCTGTGTTTCTGGTGTACAGCAGAGTGAGTCAGTTATAAATGTATATTTTTTTCATATTCTTTTTATTTTGGTTTATTACAGGATATTGAATATTTTCTATCCTACTGTGCTATACAGTAGGACCTTGTTGTTTATCTATTTTATATGTAGTAGTTTGTATCTGCTAATCCCAAACTCCTAATTTATCCCTCCCCACCCCCTATTCCCTTTGGTAACCATAAGTTTGATTTCTATGTGTGTGAGTCTGTTTCTGTTTTGTAAATAAGTTCATTTGTGTCATATTTTAGATTCCACATGCAAGTGATATCATATGGTGCTTGTCTTTCTCTTTCTGACTTACTTCACTTAGTATGATAATCTCTAGGTCCATCCATGTTGCTGCAAATGCCATTATTTCATTCTTTTTTATGACTGAGTGGTATTCCATTGTATATATGTACCACATCTTTGTCCATTCCTCTGTTGATGGACATTTAGGTTGCTTCCATGTTTTGGCTATTGTAAATAGTGCTGCTATGAACATTGGGGTGCATGTATCTTTTCTTATTAGAGTTTGCTTCAGATATATGCCCAAGAATGGGATTGCTGGGTCATATGGCAACTCTATTTTTAGTTTTTGAAGGAACCTCCATACTGTTTTCCAGAGTGTCTGCACCAATTTACATTCCCACCAACAGTGCAGGAGGGTTCCCATTTCTCCACACCCTCTCCAGCATTTATTGTTTGTAGACTTTTTGATGATGGCCATTCTGAGCAGTGTGAGGTGATACCTCATTGTAGTTTTGATTTGCATTTCTCTAATAATTAGCAATGTTGGGCATCTTTTCGTGTGCCTACTGGCCATCTATATGTCTTCTTTGGAGAAATGTGTGCTGACTGAATATTTTTATATTTTCTCTTAGGTGATATCTGCCAACAGTTTACCCGGGAAATATTTGATATGTATCAGAATTATTCAAGCTACAAACACTGGAAATTTGAACTTCTGAATTATACACCAGCTGATTATGGTAGGTGTGTTTGAGGATTTGTCCATAGATGATGCTGGAAGTTGTTTTTCTTCTGATATTGATTAGAACCATGTTGTCCCATTTTTTAAAACATTTGACCTATATCTACTAAATACTGTGACATGGGCTCATCAATCACAGTGGCTTACTATAGTAGAATTCTTACTATGGGAGAAGAGAGTGGGAGGGAAGGAAGTATCCTCCTAGGAAGGAATATCTGAATTAGAGAAACGTTCCCTGTGGAGGGTTGATTTATGCCTTGTCTGAAAAATCATTGCTCTGTTGTTCAAAGCCAAGATGTATTAAGGTTTTTACTCTAAAGTACTAATGATGTGTTGGAGGTTTATGGGAATGCAGAAAAAGTTAGTCATTTGTCTTTATTTTCAAGAAGCTCCCACCCTAGTTGGGCTGATAAAAACTTAGACAACATAAACAATAAGAACCAATGTGAGTCTTTAAACTTTTAAATACTCAAGTATGTTAAATCAGAACATCTGATAGTAATTCTTTTTTGTTCGATTCTCTTAATCCATCTGGAAGTTTTTGTCTGCTTGGTTGCACAAAGATACACTATAGTAGAAAGAGGGCCCATGAATAATAACCCACAAATTATCAAAGTGGGGAAAGAGGATTCACGTAAGTTAAACAATCGAGGGAAATGAAAACAAGTATAGAGCATAAGTAAGGTTGTGCTTCATATGGATTTGAAATACAGCCAGTGGTTAGGAAAGGTGAAACAGGAGGGAAGGGGGCAGGGCACAACTTTCAAAGAATGACATAGCCTGAGGACATGACATAAACTGACTAGAACCAAATGGGTCCAAGATGGTGGACAAGTTGACTTCCACTAGACCTTGAGCCTCAGTATATGCTCATTGTAATACATCAGCAAGCTAAATGACACACTGACTGGCGCCATGACAGTGCCAAGGCCAACCATAAGGATGAAAAATTGGGCAGTGGCCCAATTCCCAGAAATCCCCACCCTCTTCCCAAAATAGCTGGAATACTCCTCCCACTCATTAGCCTATGAAGTTACCCACCCCTTAAAAACTGACAGCCCCATACCCTGGTGCTGCTCTCACCTCCTGAGATGGCCCACACTATATCTGTGGAGTGTATTTCTCTCTAAATAAATCCACTTCTTACTATCACTTTGCCTCTCACTGAATTCTTTCTGTGATGAGACATCAAGAACCTGTGCTTCATTAAGTCCTAAAACCAGGTGTGTGATCTCAGTTGGAAGACTGTGGGTTTCGGCCGGGTTTGAGTCCTAGCCATGTGGGTTCAAGTCCCAATCAGGGTTTAGGCTGGGTTCAAGTCCCAGCACATCTGAGGTGCATGGTTTCAAAGGGAAGACCAACAGGAGCAGAGGGAAGGACCAATTTGAGCAACAGCATGGTGGTGGGAAAGATCTTGATGTGTGTGTAGAAGTGAGGAAGCCAGTTAAACCAGAGGATATTTGTGATGAGAAGTGAGAGGAAATAGGTTCAAAAGAGTAGATTTTGAGCAGACATTAAAGCTGAACAGGCCTTGATTGTTAGGGAGCTGTTGAAGATTTTGTTAATAAGAATATTATCTGATTGATATATATTTTAAGAAGATTCTTTTTTTCTTTCTTTATTGAAGTATAGATGACTTACAATATGGTGTTAGTTTCAGGTGTACAGCACAGTGATTCAGTTATGTGTGTGTGTGTGTGTGTGTGTGTGTGTGTGTGTGTGTATTCCTTTTCAGATTCTTTTCCCTTATAGGTTATTACAGAATATTGAGCATAGTTCCCTATGCTATACAGTAGGTCCTTGTTGGATATCTATTTTCTATATAGTAGTGTGTATATGTTAATCCCAACCTCCTAAGTTATCCCTCCTCCCACTCTCCTTTCCGCTTTGGCAACCATAAGTTTGTTTTTAGAAGATTATTTTGACAGCAGTGTGAAAGATGGACTGAAGAGGCTAGATTTAAGGCAGATGGCAGAGAGGTTATTAGAGTAATCCAGGTATGACTAAGAGTTAGAACTGGGAGTAGGGACACATATGAGAGAGCTTCAGATGAAGAATGAGCAAAATTTGTAACTGACAAGAGGATCTATTGCTTGCCCACTATGTCCTGCATGCAGTATGTGTTGTTTGATCTCCACAACCCTGAGTATTGTTAATCCCATTTTACAGATGAAGATCTAGGCTCAGAGAGTAAGTAACTAATCCAAGATCACACAATAAGTAATGGCAGTCCTGGGATAAGATTTAAGTCTGTCTGATCCAGAACCACACTACATCCCATTAGTTTATTCTGATACAAAGGAGATGAGCCACAGGGATCTAATCTTTCTAGCTGGGAAGATTGTGATATTCATTCATGCCATTGAATGGAATAGAAATTGGAAGGCAGTCTCCATTTGGGCAGAACAGTGAAAGTTGTTTTTGAATTATTATATGTGTTGTTATAGTGAGCGTCCCTTTAGAAATATCCAGTAAATGCTGAAGTCGTGTAACCACAGCTTTGGTGAGAATAGAATTGAGGAGAGAGATTTGATAGCTGTTAGCACAGAGATAATGTCTGATACTGAGAGAGAATAAGTGAGGGAGAGTTTATAGAGAGGGAATATTCAGGATACCAAACGTTGGAGAATGGCCATATTTAGAAAGATAAACTAGTTGGCAAAAGAAAAAGAGGGGTCAGAGAAGCAGGAAAAAGGATGAGAACAGTATAATATTTTGGAAGCAGGAGAAGAGAGAGTTTCAAGAATATAATGAGAAACAGCAGCATATGAAAGAGAGAATGTAATCGCTGAGACATATATTTTGAATTCAACTTTCAATAATGAAAGGGAGATGAACTTAATAACAGGAAGAGAGATTCTGTTCCAGGTGCCCAGAGCAGCCCAAACAATGGTTGGGAAATCTTTCTTTTAGATACATTAACTCAGTAGCAAAATAAAATAAAGACATTTTAGAAAATAAAAGGGCCTTTTATTTTATTTTATTTTTTATTTTTATTGCAGTATAGTGGATTTACAATGTTGTGTTAGTTTCAGGTGTACAGCAAAGTGAATCAGTTATACATACACATATATCCACTCCTTTTCATATTCTTTTCCCATATGGGCCATTACAGAATATTCAGTAGAGCTCCCTGTGCTATACAGTAGGTCCTTATTAGTTAAAAAATATGGAACGCTTCACAAATTTGTGGGTCATCCTTGCGCAGGGGTCATGCTAATCTTCTCTGTAGCGTTCCAATTTTAGTATATGTGCTGCCGAAGTGAGCACAAAGAAAGGTCTTTTATTAAAAAAGAAAAAATTTTCAGGAATTCCCTGGTTGTCCAGTGGTTAGGACTTGGCGCTTTCACTGCCAGGGCCTGGGTTTGATCCCTGGTCAGTGAAGTAAGATCCTGCATGCTGCATGGCGCAGCCAAAAAAATAAATAAATAAGATAGAGAAAGAGGAAAAAATACCTGCCCTATAAAGTATGTATATTAAATTGTATATATATGGGCTTCCCTGGTGGCACAGTGGTTAAGAATCCACCTGCCAATGCAGGGGACACGGGTTTGAGCCCTGGTCCGGGAAGATACCACATGCCACAGAGCAACTAAGCCCATGCATCACAACTACTGAGCCTGCGCTCTAGAGCCTGCAATCCACAACTACTGAGCCCACGTGCCACAACTACTGAAGCCCGCGAGCCTAGAACCCATGTTCCACAACAAGAGAAGCTACCGCAATGAGAAGCCCGCACACTACGAGAAGAGTAACCCTCACTTGCCACAACTAGAGAAAGCCCGCACGCAGCAACAAAGACCCAACACAGCCAAAAAGAAATAAAATAAATAAATTTATAAAAAATTATATGTATATATATTTAATGTTTAATTGAAATAGAATCAGAGATACAGCACTAAAAGCTAAGATTGGAAAAAAATACATTTTCATGCAAAAATTCATATATCAAATGACTTAAAGTCTTGTAGTTTTGTGACCTTGGGACAGATAGGGGAAATACTCAACCACTACATAAATAATCGAAACTAAATAATTACAAGATAGTCATTGTGGAAGCAATGGAGGGTGATGGCTCTTGATATGTAGTGTAGGTCTGACACTATTATTCTGTATTCCTGGTACCTAAGGAATTGAAATATTTTTCAAGTTACAGGGAGTCTATGAAATCTATTACATCATCTCTTCCAACAGATTAATGTTTATAAATATGTTTTGTTATTCTCTGCTCAACAGTTGAATTCAGGGAGAGGTCACTTAAAGTAAGGTGGTGGTTAATTTTGTGTGTACAGAAGACATACATTTCACCACAACTCTGAGAAATAAATTTGTGAAGGGAGCCCTGGCGTCCTTGAAGAGATCTGTGATTGCTTTTCTCTGTAGCCCAGACCTTACAGTGGGAACTCTCTTGTTGTCTGGCCAAGGAGCTCAAGCTGATGATCCAGTTTCTGGATCCAGCTGCCCAATTGCAACCAGTACAGAGGGCAGAAAAACAGGTTGAATCACTCCAAGAGTATACAGTCAGCAAAACCAGACCATGGGGGACTTCCCTGGTGGTTCAGTGGATAAGACTCCTTGCTCCTAATGCAGGGGACCTGGGTTCAATCCCTGGTCAGGGAACTAGATCCCATATGCATGCCACAGCAAAGATCCCACGTACCGCAACTAAGACCCAGCACAGCCAAAATAGGTAAATAATAAATAAATAAATAAATTTTTTTTTAAAAAAAGAATTGTTTAAAAAAGTTAAAACTCTCCAGAAACTGGGCATAGAGGGAACCTACCTCAACATAATAAAGGCCATATACGACAAACCCACAGCAAATATCATTCTCAGTGGTGAAAAACTGAAAGCATTTCCTCTAAGATCAGGAACGAGACAAGGATGTCCACTCTCAACACTATTATTCAACATAGTTTTGGAAGTCCTAGCCACAGCAATCAGAGAAGAAAAAGAAATAAAAGGAATACAAATTGGTAAAAAAGATGTAAAACTGTCACTGTTTGCAGATGATATGATACTGTACATAGAGAATCCTAAAGATGCCACCAGAAAATTACTAGAGCTAATCAATGAATTTGGTAAAGTTGCAGGGTACAAAATTAATGCACAGAAATCTCTTGCATTCCTATACACTAATGATGAAAAATATGAAAGAGAAATTATGGAAACACTCCCATTTACCATGGCAACAAAAAGAATAAAATACCTAGGAATAAACTTACCTAGGGAGACAAAAGACCTGTAGGCAGAAAACTATAAGACACTGATGAAAGAAATTAAAGTTGATACCAACAGATGGAGAGATACACCATGTTCTTGGATTGGAAGAATCAATATTGTGAAAATGACTATACTACCCAAGGCAATCTACAGATTCAATGCAATCTGTATCAAATTACCAAGGGCATTTTTTACAGAACTAGAACAAATCATCTCAAAATTTGTATGGAGAAACAAAAGACCCCGAATAGCCGAAGCAGTCTTGAGGGAAAAAAACAGAGCTGGAGGAATCAGACTCCCTGACTTCAGACTATACTACAAAGCTACAGTAATCAAGACAATATGGTACTGGCACAAAAACAGAAACATAGATCAATGGAACAAGATAGAAAGCCCAGAGATAAACCCATGCACCTATGGTCAACTAATCTATGACAAAGGAGGCAAGGATATACAATGGAGAAAAGACAGTCCCTTCAATAAGTGGTGCTGGGAAAACTGGACAGCTACATGTAAAAGAATGAAATTAGAACACTCCCTAACACCATACACAAAAATAAACTCAAAATGGATTAGAGACCTAAATGTAAGACCGGACACTATAAAACTCTTAGAGGAAAACATAGGAAGAACACTCTTTGACATAAATCACAGCAAGATCTTTTTTGATCCACCTCCTAGAGTAATGGAAATAAAAACAAAAATAAACAAATGGGACCTAATGAAACTTCAAAGCTTTTGCACAGCGAAGGAAACCATAAACAAGACAAAAAGACAACCCTCAGAATGGGAGAAAATATTTGCAAACGAATCAACGGACAAAGGATTAATCTCCAAAATATATAAACAGCTCATGCAGCTCAGTATTAAAGAAACAAACAACCCAATCCAAAAATGGGCAGAAGACCTAAATAGACATTTCTCCAAAGAAGACATACAGATGGCCAAGAAGCACATGAAAAGCTGCTCAACATCACTAATTATTAGAGAAACGCAAATCAAAACTACAGTGAGGTATCACCTCACACCAGTTAGAATGGGCATCATCAGAAAATCTACAAACAACAAATGCTGGAGAGGGTGTGGAGAAAAGGGAACCCTCTTGCACTGTTGGTGGGAATGTAAATTGATACAGCCACTATGGAGAACAGTATGGAGGTTCCTTAAAAAACGAAAAATAGAATTACCATATGATCCAGCAATCCCACTACTGGGAATATACCCAGAGGAAACCATAATTCAAAAAGTCACATGGACCCCAATGTTCATTGCAGCACTATTTACAATAGCCAGGTCATGGAAGCAACCTAAATGCCCATCAACAGATGAATGGGTATAGAAGATGTAGTACATACAATGGAATATTACTCAGCCATAAAAAGGAACGAAATTGAGTCATTTGTTGAGACGTGGATGGATCTAGAGACTGTCATACAGAGTGAAGTAAGTCAGAAAGAGAAAAACAAACATCATATATTAACGCAGGTATGTGGAACCTAGAAAAATGGTACAGATGAACTGGTTTGCAGGGCAGAAGTTGAGACACAGATGTAGAGAACAAACATATGGACACCAAGTGGGGAAAACCGTGGTGGGGTGGGGATGGTGGTGTGATGAACTGGGCGATTGGGATTGACATGTATACACTGATGTGTATAAAATTGATGACTAATAAGAACCTGCAGTATAAAAAAAAAAACTAAAAGAACAACTAATACTAAACTTTCTTTGGGTTATTTGTATGGAAATATGTTAACATAAATGTTTCAGACATTACATGAAATTTCTAAAAATCTTATATGTTCTGGTGTAATGTTATAAGTCATAATTCTAGTTATTACTTTAAAATGTATATCTCAGAAATAACTGAATTTCCTAGTCAACTGCATTATTATGAACTTTCATCAATCTTTAACCGTGGTCATTTTTAAGTCTTTCGTCATTTACAGACAGTTCTGGGTGTACTCTGATGCTTTTGCAAAAATGTTCCTATAAAAGGGTTTCATCTTCATGTAATTCATGGAAAAGACTCTGACAAGTACAGGTTTCTGGTAACTGACTATACTGCTGAACTGAATGAATAAGCATTTTCAGAACTCTAATGGAAAACTGATGAATTCATAAAAGTGCTAACAAGAGATCAAGATGAAAAAAAATTAATTACATGGGACTGAGCGAACTGATGAAGATCATTATAATTTTTGTGACTTTCTGTTTGAATAAAAAAAATATATCACACAAGGACTCAGAGGCAAAAAATATACAAATCAATTATCATTGCAAAGTAAAGGAGCTGTTATAGTGGAGGATTACTGGACTGAATGTCAATATTATGACATAGTGTGAGTGTGTTTCGTGTTTGGTAATTGCAGTCATTGTTGATTTTGTTGTGGTCATCCATTTACAATGCTTGGTGTCAGTTTATCTCTTGTAAGAATAAAATACGGTGTGTGTGTGTGTGAAAAAAAAATAAAGGTAAGCACTTATTAAAAAAAAAAACACATTGTCACTTTGCTATTATCAGACCAAAAAAAAAAATTCCTTAGTATAATCAAATATCCAGTCAGTGTTCACATTTCCCTGTCTCATAAATTTTTTTGTATAGTTTTTGTTCAAACTGAAACCTAAATAACTTCCTTATGCTGCAGTTCGTTGATGTGTCTCTTAAATCTCTTGTAATCCACAGGTACCTCCTCAATTTTAATTTTTTTCCTTGCAATTCATTTGTTAAGGGAACTAGATTATTTGTCCTATAGATCATCGGATTTTGCTGATTGCATCCCTGTGGTGATATTTCACATTTTTATTGCCCTTCTATTTTCTGTAATTGCCCTTCTATTAGTAATTATAGTCAGAGACCAGAAAAAAAAATTAAAAATTAAAAAAAAATAATTTAAAAAAAGAACAGAACGTGGGAAATTTCGGTAGATCAATAGCCCTAGTTCCTCAACAGATAATTTGAAGTAAACAACAGAGATGGATGACGAACTTACAGACTGAGAGCTTTGAAAGACATTTCAAATTTTTTAAATGGACAAGACTAAACTGTAGTACCTAGGGCAGCACATTAGATAATAAAGTTATAATAAAGAAGGGAATAGAAGGATAATGGTTATTCATGAGAAGGGGAGGGGATTGTAACTAGGAAGGGGCATGTGAGAGGGCTTTGGGGGTGCCTGAAAAATTCTTTTAATTTCTTTTTTTTTTTTTTTTTTGTGGCCAGGCTGTGTGGCATGTGTGATCTTAGTTCCCTGATCAGGGATCGAACTTGTGCCCCCTGCAGTGGAAGTGCAGAGTCTTAACCTCTGGACTGCCAGAGAAGTCCAACAAATTTCTTTTTCTTGATCTTGAACTATACATTGCATTCATGTGGTTTTCCATGTATATTATTTTGTAATAAAAATATTTTTAAAAGACATAGTCATTAAGAAACTAGCCTAGACATTAAGATTTTTTTATGCTTATCTTCTCACTCCACAGATAAGCAAGAGCTAAATTTCAGTAGATTCTTGAGAACTTGAGAGATCCTATAGAATTATTCATCATTATCAAATTACTATGTTACTGAATAGTCCTTTATATATGGCACCAAATTAGCCTAAGATTGCATGGTATAGTTCAATGTAGAAAACACCCCAGTATTCTTTTTTTCTAATACTATTTTTGTAAAAGTGAAATTTGTTCATTATATAAAAGTTAGCAACAAAAAAAGTATAAAAAGTAAAATGAAAAACATGCTGTTATTCTATTCTCCAGAGGTAACCATAAATAATATTTTGGTATGTTTCCTTTTATATATTAATTCACTTACATTGGGAAAATATAGTTTTGTACCTACCTTATGTTCTCGTCTCAGGCTCTATGCTCACATCCAGGCCTTACATTGAGGGCATCTAAGATCCTGATCCCTTTCAAAGTAGAATTCAGTAATATTGCTGGAACATTTTTTCATAGGTGGGCTACATCATGCAGCCGCCCGAATTTCCGGTGACAATGTCTATAAGCATTTGAAGTATGAAGGTGGGATTCACCGAGTTCAGCGAATTCCTGAGGTGGGCCTGTCGTCAAGGATGCAGCGTATTCACACGGGAACGATGTCGGTTATTGTCCTCCCTCAACCAGATGAGGTAACCTCCTACCTAAACTCTATACCATTATCTATGAAAATCAACCAGAATTTTATTGTCTAGGAAAAACTCCTGTGTGTTCTGTATACTCACAGAGTACTTCTGCACTCCAGATGTGTGGAGCTCATTACCCCCCGACAAAGTAGTTCTTCAGTTCTCTGTGGACAGCATGTGGCCGTCCTACAATTCAACTCAGTTCTGACCCCATCTACCTGGAGATGACGTCAGATCCTACAGGCTAGACTCAGTCCCACAAGAGAGCCTCCCCCTTCTGCTTCAGAGGCCAATCACAAGACCTGGTTGTCTTCTGTGTTTCTGATCAACTGGTTATCCATCTGGAGGTTCCCATGACCCCCTCCTTAGGTTAAATAATACTAAAGTGGCTTACAGAACTCAGGAAAACAGTTTACTTACTAGACTACTGGCTAATTACAAAAGATGCAACTCAGGAATAGACAGATGGAAGAAGTGCATAGGACACAGTATGTGGGAAGAGGTGCAGAGCTTCTGTACCCTCTCCAGGCTCGCTACCCTTCCAGCAGCTTCATGTGTTCATCAGCCCTGGCAGCTCTCTGAACCCTGTGCTTTGGCGATTTTTATGGAGGCTTCCATACATAGACATGTTTGGTTAAATCATTGCGCTTTGGGGATTCCGCTCCCTGGAGGTTGGGAGTGCAGTGGAGATGAAAGTTCCAACCCTCTAATCATGTGGTTGGTTCCCCTAGGATCAGCCCCTGTCCTGTGGTTATCTAGAGGCTTTCCAAATATCACCTCATTAACATAAACTCAAGTGTGGTTGAAAGGGACTTAGGGTGAGAACTGGACAAAGACAAATATATATTATTATAAACCACAATATCACAATTTATTTTTACAGCAATTTTTTTAACCAGGATCCCGTCAAATTTCACTCATTGCAGTTGGTTGTTATATCTCTTTAAGTCTGGAACCAGTCTTCCAACCTTTCTTTTTTTTTCTTTTAATGACATTGACTTTTTGAATAGTCTAAACCATTTGCCTTATAGAATGTTCCACATCTGCATTTATCTGATTGTTTCCTCATAATATTCTTTAAATTGTTCCTTTATGTTCTATGTTGTATTGAAAGTTATATTTAAATGTTCCATTCTATTCAGGTTATACATTTTGAGCAAGAATACTTTTCAGGTGTAGTTATATTCATGTTGCATCTTATCAGAAGGCATAGAATATCATATTGTCCCACTCTTAGTGAGGACTGGTTTGAGCATTTAGTTAAGATGGTGACCGCAAAAATACCTCCATTATGAAAGTGTATTTTTCCCTTTATAATTACTAAGTAATCTCTAGGGTAATATGTCCTATTCCCAACAACTTTTTTTCCATGGTTTTAACATCCATTAGTGATCTTTGCCTGAATTAGTTATTTAGTTTGGGATTGCAAAATGGTGATTTTCTAATTCTACCATTCCTTCTACATGTATTACCTGGCATTCTTTTCTGTAAGGAACTTTCCTCCCCACTACCTTCTCTCCTCCTTTCTTCTTGCTCTCTTTCTTTTTTTGTTGTTTTTAACATCTTTATTAGAGTATAATTGCTTTACAATGGTGTGTCAGTTTCTTCTTTATAAAAAAGTGAATCAGTTATACATATACATATGTCCCCATATCTCTTCCCTCTTGCATCTCCCTCCCTCCCACCCTCCCTATCCCACCCCTCCAGGTGGTCAGAAAGCAGCGAGTTGATCTCCCTGTGCTATGCGGCTGCTTCCCACTAGCTATCTCTTTTACGTTTGGTAGTGTATATATGTCCATGCCACTCTCTCACTTTGTCCCAGCTTACCCTTCCCCCTCCCCATATCCTCAAGTCCATTTTCTAGTAGGTCTGCATCTTTATTCCTGTCTTGCCCCTAGGTTCTTCTGACTATTTTCTTTTTTTTTCTTTTTTTAAGATTCCATATATATGTGTTAGCATACAGTATTTGTTTTTCTCTTTCTGACTTACTTCACTCTGTATGACAGACTCTAGGTCCACCAACCTCACTACAAATAACTCAGTTTCGTTCCTTTTTATGGCTGAGTAATAATCCATTCTATATATGTGCCACATCTTCTTTATCTATTCATCTGTTGATGGACTCTTAGGTTGCTTCCATGTCCTGGCTATTGTAAATAGAGCTGCAATGAACATTTTGGTACATGACTCTTTTTGAATAATGGTTTCCTCCGGGTATATGCCCAGTAGTGGGATTGCTGGGTCACATGGTAATTCTATTTTTAGTTTTTTAAGGAACCTCCATACTGTTCTCCATAGTGGCTGTATCAATTTACATTCCCACCAACAGTGCAAGAGGGTTCCCTTTTCTCCACACCCTCTCCAGCATTTATTGTTTGTATATTTTTTTATGATGACCATTCTGACCGGTGTGAGATGATATCTCATTGTAGTTTTGATTTGCATTTCTCTAATGATTAAGGATGTTGAGCATTCTTTTCATGTGTTTGTTGGCAATCTGTATATCTTCTTTGGAGAAATGTCTATTTAGGTCTTCTGCCCATTTTTGGATTGGGTTGTTTGTTTCTTTAATATTGAGCTGCATGAGCTGTTTATATATTTTGGATATTAATCCTTTGTCCGTTGATTCATTTGCAAATATTTTCTCCCATTCTGAGGGCTGTATTTTTCTCTTATTTATGGTTTCCTTTTCTGTGCAAAAGCTTTGAAGTTTCATTAGGTCCCATTTGTTTATTTTTGTTTTTATTTCCATTACTCTAGGAGGTGGATCAAAAAAGATCTTGCTGTGATTTATGTCAAAGAGTGTTCTTCCTATGTTATCCTCTAAGAGTTTGATAGTGTTGGGTCTTACATTTAGGTCTTGAATCCATTTTGAGTTTATTTTTGTGTGTGGTGCTAGAGAGTGTTCTAATTTCATTCTTCTACATGTAGGTGTCCAGTTTTCCCAGCACCACTTATTGAAGAGACTGTCTTTTCTCCATTGTATATCTTTGCCTCCTTTGTCATAGATTAGTTGACCATAGGTGCATGGGTTTATCTCTGGGCTTTCTATCTTGTTCCATTGATCTATGTTTCTGTTTTTGTGCCAGTACCATATTGTCTTGATTACTGTAGCTTTGTAGTATAGTCCAAAGTCAGGGAGTCTGATTCCTCCAGCTGCGTTTTTTTCCCTCAAGACTGCTTTGGTTATTCGGGGTCTTTTGTGTCTCCATGCAAATTTTGAGATGATTTGTTCTAGTTCTGTAAAAAATGCCATTGGTACTTTGATAGCGATTGTATTGAATGTGTAGATTACTTTGGGTAGCATAGTCATTTTCACAATATTGAGTCTTCCAATCCAAGAACATGGTATATCTCTCCATCTGTTGGTATCAACTTTAATTTCTTTCATCAGTGTCTTATAGTTTTCTGCATATAGGTCTTTTGTTTCCCTAGGTAGGTTTATTCCTAGGTATTTTATTCTTTTTGTTGCAATGGTAAATGGGAGTGTTTCCATAATTTCTCTTTCAGATTTTTCATCATTAGTGTATAGGAATGCAAGAGATTTCTGTGCATTAACTTTGTATCCTGCAACTTTCCCAAATTCATTGATTAGCTCTACTAATTTTCTGGTGGCATCTTTAGGATTCTCTATGTATAGTATCATGTCATCTGCAAACAGTGACAGTTTTACATCTTTTTTACCAATTTGTATTCCTTTTATTTCTTTTTCTTCTCTGATTGCTGTGGCTAGGACTTCCAAAACTATGTTGAATAATAGTGGTGAGAGTGGACATCCTTGTCTTGTTCCTGATCTTAGAGGAAGTGCTTTCAGTTTTTCACCATTGAGAATGATGTTTGCTGTGGGTTTGTCATATATGGCCTTTATTATGTTGAGGTAGGTTCCCTCTATGCCCACTTTCTGGAGAGTTTTTATCATAAATTGGTGTTGAATTTTGTCAAAAGCTTTTTCTGCATCTACTGAGTTGATCATATGGGGTTTTTTTTTTTTGATCATATGGTTTTTATTCTTCAATTTGTTAATATGGTGTATCACATTGATTGATTTGCATATATTGAAGAATCCTTGCATCCCTGGCAAAAATACCACTTGATCATGGTGTATGATCCTATGAGGGTGATGGTGGCCTCATAGAATGAGTTTGGGAGTGTTCCTTCCTCTGCAATTTTTTGGAAGAGTTTGAGAAGGATGGATGTTAGCTCTTCTCTAAATGTTTGATAGAATTCACCTGTGAAGCCATCTGATCCTGGACATTAGTTTGTTGGAAGATTTTTAATCACAGTTTCAATTTCATTACGTGTGATGGTCTGTTCATATTTTCTGTTTCTTCCTGTTTCAGTCTTGGAAGTTTATACCTTTCTAAGAATTTGTCCATTTCTTCCAGGTTGTCCCTTTTATTGGCATAGAGTTGCTTGTAGTAGTCTCTTAGGATGCTTTGTATTTCTGCACTGTCTGTTTTAACTTCTCCTTTTTCATTTCTAATTTTATTGATTTGAGTCCTCGCCCTCTTTTTCTTGATGAGTCTGGCTAATGGTTTATCAATTTTGTTTATCTTCTCAAAGAACCAGCTTTTAGTTTTATTGATCTTTCTTATTGTTTCTTTCTTATTGTTTCTTGTTTGTTTCTATTTCATTTATTTCTCCTCTGATCTTTCTGATTTCTTTACTTCTGCTAATTTTGGATTTTGTTCTTCTTTCTCTAGTCCCTTTAGGTGTAAGTTTAGATTGTTTACTTGAGATTTTTCTTGTTTCCTGAGGTAGGCATATATAGCTATAAACTTCCCTCTTAGAACTGCTTTTGCTGCATCCCATAGGTTTTGGATTGTTGTGTTTTCATTGTCATTTGTCTCTAGGTATTTTTTGATTTCCTCTTTGATTTCTTCAGTGATCTTTTGGTTATTTAGTAACATACTGTTTAGCCTCCATGTGTTTGTGTTTTTTACATGTTTTTGCCTGTAGTTCATTTCTAATCTCATAGCGTTGTGGTCAGAAAAAATGCTTGATAT